ACAATGATTTCCATTTGAATATTTGAGGTGAATTGCGTACAATTTTCACTATTCTTATAAAATAAAAATAAAGTCATGTATTAAAAAAACAAGCCTTAATAATAATAATTTTATTTGTTTTAAAAATTCGCCGAAAAAAATTTAACATTTTGCATGTCGTTGAGTTGTCCACGCGCCGAATAGGCTGCTAAGTGATTTGTCGTGCAGTTGATTTGTCACGGAGATGAGTTGGCCGGTGTTGAGTCGGCGGTGTTGAGTTGTCCGGTGTTGAGTCGTCGGTGTTGAGTTGACGGTGATAAGTCGTCCTGAACACACACACACACACACACACACACACGCGCACGCTCGCGCACACACGCACATGCACACACGTGCACACACACACAGACATATATATAAATATAGACAGATATTTAAAATGATATATATATATATATATATATATATATATATATATATATATTTAGATAGATAGATACTGAAGAGCCCGGAAAACCTAACTAAGTTTTATTTCCAATTTTTTCTCGGTTACCCATTTATTTTGAGATATCTTCAAATTGTACTATCCGAGGTTTTTTACAAACGAGTATTACTATTAGTATAGATAGATAGATAGATAGATATGGACAGAATGTGACAGATATGAATGAAATACTTCAAGAGCAGGCTGATATGCATACGAACTGATTGAAATTTACATCGATAGAAAGACGAAGCAAAAACTGATGAATACGCGAAAAGAGTGATAAATGACTAATTCCTTTCCAATTCGTTACTGATTTGAATTGTGTGTGGAAAAGTAAGTTCTTTTTTTGTCAGAAGTTCTCAGGTTTCATCTTTTCCTTCGAAGTGAGCAATAAAACTTGTCCAGGAGGAAAGATCTATTTTACTGATTAAATCTCATCATCCATGCTTTGATCGAAAGAAACATTTTGCTTGTTTCTTCATTTGCTTCACTGAATCAGAAAATGGAGTCTCAAAAATAATATTGAAATTTAAATTTACAAAATAAAATCTAATCAGTTTGTAATACACATTCAATCGGTGGTCATTTACTTCGATTGAGTTATTGAAGAATTAACAGATGTTAAAAAAATTTTATACAGGCTGCGATGAGTACATTGTCGACATTTTATATATTTAATTTCGCGCATGCGCATTGTTTTTCATTTTGTCGGCTGTACAATATAGTAGGGACAGTTGGGCATCATCTGTGAGAAAGAAAGCACCATGACGCAATTCACTCCGCAAGAAATTTGGAAACGGCATGCTGCACTAATTTGCATTCGCACCGGAAGCTCCAATACGAACATTTCAGAGTGTTTGGATGTCAATCTGACCACAGTGGTGCAGAGGATTCGGAAAGAGTAGGATGAGTGTAATGGTGATGCCGAAGGTACGGAAGCTCGGAAAACTCACTCTGATCGTTCTGATAAGAAAAGAACTTACATCAAGTAATCGGAGGCTTACATCAAGTGAATTGAGGAGGTAGTGCTGCCCCGATCAATACAGTGGCTGCTGGAGGCCGTGGTCGAAGCCAATGGCGATTTTATTGAATGAATTTACTCTTTTGTATTTCAAGATATTATTATGTAATTTTGGTAAATATATCTATTAATATGAGATGTCAGTGATGTTTTCATTTTTTTTTTTTTTTTTTGCATTCTTTAGACGACAATTTATCCATCGCACGCTGTTCACATGTGAAAATGAGATGTTAGTATCATTTTTCTAGCATGATTTAGACGACAATTTATCCATCGCACGCTGTTCACCTGTCAAAATGAGGTCAGTATTATTTTTCTGGCATCATTTAGACGACAATTTATCCATCGCATCCTGTTCACCCGTGAAAATGAGGTCAGCGTTATTTTTCTGGCATCATTTAGACGACAATTTATCCATCGCACCCTGTACATTCGTTCAGTCTGAATTTCTGAGATGACCAATTACCATTGTTGTACATTGCTTCAGCCGAATTAGTGCCTTCATCATGGTTGTTACACTCGCAGCGTTTTAGCAGTTCTCACCTTTATCTGCGTACTCTTCATCTCGACTTTCATGCCGATGTCATACATGGCGTCAAACCCGTTCAGAAATAACAAAACTGTCAGCTGTACGCATCTCCTTTATAAGATTAATGGCGAAAAATGGCTTTGAGCGAGTGAGGCCTATGAATCTTGGCGTCGACCACATTTCTTCGAATATTGTGGTACAGAATCGAAAAGAAAGAACTATACCAAATAATCCTTTAAAAGCGTATCCTCGTCTTTGTGAATGACGAATTATTTTCCCACGCTACAACTTCTTTCCCCAGAGACAATAAGTCACAAGCCTCATGCTGCTCTATCGCTAATTCCATGGAAAGTGTTCAGACTAACTACGTTGTTTAGTTTCGTCAGTTCTAACCTCCACGGCTAAGTCCCCTCAGGCCACGCACATTGTTTTAGCGAACCACGCTTGTTCCCTTCGTATTTCACAAAGATAAGTAAATGCAATATTCTCATTGTGACTTCTTTATCAGTTAAGCTACGTCGAATATAGTAAAAAACAAAACAAAACAAACAAAAAACGACATAAAATATTGTTATCGATTTGTCTGAGAGGAAGGATGGAAGAAACCTTCAAAGAAACCGGGTTTTATGAAATAAAACACGCCTGACACTACAACATATAGATATTAAATAAGATTAGTTTATAATTGGGCGTCATCCACTGAGAAAAGAACATTATATAATTATCAGTGAGATTATGGTGATAACCTTTACACTGCAGTGAGATGTCTCGGTATATCACCTTAGCATAACGTCTTGAGCGCCTGTTAGGATCTTAAGTAGAACTCGTCCATACAATCCATTGCTAAAGATGCTGGAAAAATGATCGGTTCCCTGAACCGCTCCAGTAAGTACCTGACTCCTTCGGCTATTCTCTACCTTTACAAGAGCCAGATCAGAAAATGGAGTACTGTTGACATATATGGGCAGGAGCCTTCAAGTCTTTCCTAGAGTCTGAAAGCGTTCACGTGTCTTTGTGGATGGCGAATTGTTTCCCATCCTACAACCTCTTTCCCACAGTCGAAAAACGTCGCAAGCCTCCCGCTGCTCTATCGCTATTTCCATGGAAAGTGTTCAGACGAACGACATTCATTCCACCAGTTCTAACCTTCACGGCTAAAACTCGCCATGCCACGCATATTGTAGCAAACAACCGCCATTCTCTTCGTATTGCACTGGTAAGATGCAAATTCCACTAACTACTTCTTCCCACGAACTGTTCCTTTGTGGGACCGACTTTCAAGAGGATGCTTCCTAGATTATTACTTAACTTTGTATGGGGTTAACTGTTATCTTTACTATATATTCCCATAAACTGTGTCTCGTACTCAGTTACCCTCTACCTCGAGTGTCTCTTGTGCTTTGTACAGGCTGAATATCATCAAGAATAAAAAAAGAAGCCTGTAGGTTGTTGTGCAAAAAATTGCTTTATGCTTTTACTCAAGTCATTAATGCGAATTTTCTTATACCTAAGTTCATCAAATACAAAATTCGAGAGCCACTCAATGTAGAGCGTAACTGTTAAAATTGTTATAATGAATGAGTTGTGTGATATGAATGAAGGAAGAGGTGATAAGAAATGAAGAGTATAAAGATAAAGCGGATAGATAACAGCTGACTCTTGAATTGAAGGGGTTAAGATTCTAGTATTCAGGAAAGCATCCACGTGGGAGTAGCATGTTCCACAGAGAAGTAGTTTCCGTTTTACTGCTTGTGAAATAACTTAGAGGATTAAAGCTTTAATTTGTGGATCTGATGAAGCAGAAGTACTGAGTTCAAACCCTGGGCATAGCAGTGTGACTTGAAATCGGTGGAAACAGTGTGTGGGTGGGGAGCACTAACTGTGCTGTACTAAAAATAAGAACGAGGTAAAGTGGTGAGCAGATTGAGAAGAGTCTACCTTCTCAGAGGAAATAAAAGGTTTAGTTCGAAGTTCCTTGAAGGTTACTCGGATAGACAAGAACTTGATGAAGGTCGGAGACCACATCGGCCGAAACATTGTAAAACATTGTAATAATAAAAATACCAAAATTGAGAATATTAGTCCCAGGTAAATAATGGTAACTCGTCAGGTGAAAAGAATCAGTTCTTGGCAACAAGGTGCCTGAGTTAAATTTCTTCTTATATTTGGAATACAGGAGAAATGAAGTGGATTCGACTACGTGGATGTGACATGGCAATAAAGGAGTCAGCTGGTGGACAATAGAATAGAGTTCAAGTGAATGTGAGTTCGAACCCCATTCGCCGATGCTATTCACTCGGCCGTCCACACCCCAACCAGAGAACTGTCCAGATAAACAATTCTTAGAACCGCCTTTTCCATCTCGATTGCGCGACCAAAAAAAAAAAAAAAGAATCAATCATTAGAAAAGAAAACAAATTTCACCTGCCGACCGTTGGTTTCATTTCGCGTTTCCGACATTATGAAAGACCTTAACGCTTCCAGTCCCGTCGCCTGTCATCTCGGCGAATTCTTTCAGGTAGAAAAATACCATAAAAGAGGAAGGGTATAGAATAACGATGACGATCCTGATCATAACTAAGTTAATTAATTGAAGAATTAGATCATTATCACGGATAAATGAGAGTTTAACGCATGTGTTTGTGAAAGTAGGGAGGAATCAACGAGGAGAATCAAAATTGCCCCTGGGGGCAGTGCACACAAAGATAGGTTAGCCATCTGTGGCTGGGAACATAACCCCCGGGCAGTGTCGATTCCGTTGAAATGGAATAAGCATTTAGAATCGTTGGAGAGAATAGTGTATTTCTATATTTAAAAGAGGGCATAGGACTGTGAGCGCGCGCGTGTGTGGATATATGTGGGTAAAGGCACAAACGTACAGTCAGGCAGACAGTGAGAACAATTCCATATTGATAGATCGATCGATCGACCGACAGATAGATAGATAGATAGATAGATAGATAGATAGATAGATAGATAGACAGCTGGATATAAATAGTTATGAAGAGATTGAAAGTGATATGGATAAATAAACTATGAAAAAATAGATTTTTCAAAGTCTGTCTATACTTCTGAGCTCTGGTAAATAACATGCAATGATAATAGCAAAATTGCAATATGAGCACTGGTAAAAATGATTGCTGAGGACATTAGGTTTATAATACCCAGAAATTCATACCCTCAAGGACACATGGCACAGTGGATAAAGGCGTTGGTTAGATCCAGTGACAACACCCAAAAGAGTTTGAGTTCAGTACCCGGTTAAGGCAGTGGAGAACTTTCAGAGGGAAATTAGCAGGCGATAACTGATAACTGACATCCATCAAACATGGCACGTGGAACTAGAACAGTCTGTCTATATGTGAGCGAAGGGTTCAGTTCGAAAGTCCAACCACCTGAAGATTTTGTCGCCATATTTGTCACAACGTTTCAGCTGTTGTACGCTCCGGCCGAAACGTTGTGACAAATATGGCGACAAAGATGAGGACAATAGTCCGAATAATGTAAATAATTGATTTTTCATTATAATACTGGCATAAACCTTGATTCCCGTCGTAAAATCCGATTTTAACTATAAAACTCAGGGGTCACTTCTCAGACCAAAGCTCTTTTTACTTTACATAAAATGATCTACCTAAGAGTATACGGAATTCATTTATGAATATCTATGTCGATAATACAACGGTATCTGGATGCACCTTCAAAACTCATGATGCGATTGGTGGCTGATCTCATTCGATCTTTGCTCTAATTCCCCACTGGGTGAAAAACTGTCTGGTTACATTCAATAACTAATTTACATTCCATCATCGTCAATCAGTTACCGAACTACCGCCAGTCAAGATGAATGGACGTTTCCCCGTCACTCGGGAAGGCCCCGTGCCTTGAGAGACTATTGGGTCTTAAACTCATTCAGACCTCAACTCGACTGGAATTCGAACTCGGCTCCCCGATTTCTCAACCCGAGCTGAAACCCATTACTTCATTCTCCCTCCCTAAGCGACTGTTACGTAATAGATTTAGCACACACACAAAAAAAAAATCCAATCATCTGAAGTCCAGAGCGTACAACGGTCAAAACTATTTCCATTGTTCGGACAAAGACCTCATTTTTAATTCACGACGTTTCAGCCGTCATGAACTCCGGCCTTCTTCAGGTGATTGTAACTTCGTCTACCGGGGTAGACTGTTTTAGTTCTACGAGCCATGCCTCTTCCGGATATCTCTATTAAGTTTTTATCCACCTCTGCCGTAGCCAGGTATTGAACTCACAACTCTTTAGGTCAAGTTACTAGATCCGGCAAACGCTTTTATCCATGTCTCCTTGAGGACACCAGTGTATGTAGTGTAGTGTAGTGTTGGAATTATAAAGTTAATGTCTCAGTAACTGTTTTTTTTTTTTTTTTTTACCAGAGCTAATATTGCAATTTTGTTGTTTATTTCTATGCTTGTCCAGCTTAGGAGAATATCACAATAACATGACAGTCTGATCAATCTAATATTATAAAAAAATTACAATGTCTCATCTCAGAAATATAGACAGATACCTTTGAGATAGTTATGAAAGCATCTCTTCTTCCACCACCTATGGTTAACTAGCAGGACAGACGGGGTAGCAACCATTTTTAAATTCAAAACTCTATGTAGCCGTAGGAAGGAAAGGATTTGTTCACATTGACTCGATGATCCAGACTACGGTCGATTCCTCAGCACTATTTTCGTGTTTCTTAATTCTTTCTCAAATCCTTTTTTGTCATTTTAAAGACAATTTTTTTTCTAGTTCTTATCTTACCAATATTTTCATTTTTTTTTTGTGCTGTGTTTTTTATCCGCCATTTTTCGCAAATCTCAAAGCTGTGTTTCCATTATTCAATAACTATACAATATGTTACTTCTATTCTTGGCTTATATCGTTTTCACAATCAAATGGCAATTATTTTTTATATCTGAAATTACAAAATAAATAGCAATAAACTTTTAGGTGTATTTAATTGCAATAAATCTAGAATTGCTTAATAAAAATCTTAGACATTTTTTTCTTTATAGGTTCTTTTTTTCTCTTCAGTTATATTTCTTTCTTTTCTTTCTTAATTTACTGTCTTCGTCTTTTCTTTCTTCCTGTTTATTTGCTTTGTTTCTTTATTTCTTTCGTTAAAATCTAATGCTTTTCTTTTTTATAGATTTTTCATCGACTACCGTCTTTCTTTTTTTATTTTCTGATATTTTATTTATCTTTTGAGATTTCTCTTCTTTTGTCATGATTTGTTTTTCTTTCTTTCTATTTTTATGTCTGTCTTTCTTTTTATCTTTTAATATTTTTCTTTTTCCCCAGGCTTTTTATTCTCTTGTTATAAATTGATTTTCTTTCTTTTTTTTTATTCTCGCCTTGCTGTTTCTCATCTAATTTTTTTTTTATTATTCTTCTCACGTTTTTTTATTCATTTTTTTTTCATTCTTTTTTCTTTCTTTCTTTCTTTCTTTCTTTCTTTCTTTCTTTCTTATTGGAAATATTTAAAACCAGATGTTATATTTAAAATATAGATCTATATTGTATATTTTATCAATATCAATTAGTCAATACTAATTTCATTGTGAAAACATTAACTTTAAGAATAAAATCGGATAGTTTGGACATATATCGACGTCAACAGATTGAGATAGATTACAGGATATATATATATATATATATATATATATATATATATATATATATTAGGCGAGACAAATATTTTCCATTCTTCTTTATTATTAAAAATGAAAAAAATGACATTTTATGGGGCTAACAATTTAGATTCTATATTAGGTAAAACGTGCGGCTGGCCTGAGAGAAAACTGAATTTAAAAAAAAGAATTGCTATGTATATAACCTTTTTTTTTTCTCTAATTTCCACCTGACCACCACCCCAAGGGAAAATAAATATTTGATTAACTTACTGCTACATCATCATCATCATCATCATCATCATCCCTTGACTTTTGTAATCGTAGCTGGGCGGGGGGATCCGAATGCAGAGGCCACACTAAATCTTTTCCACAACGGTCTATCAACGACAGCGATCAGCAATTCTGGTACAGTCATACCTGTTCAGTGTTTGACATTGTCCAACCAGTTTTTATGTTGGCGTCCTCTCCTACGTTCACCTTCAACGGTGTCTTGTATGATGATTTTGCACAGGCTGTCGTGCCTGCTAATGTGTCCAAACCACGCCATTTTTCTCTGTTTGACAGTGGCGAGAAGAGGTTCATGGTGACCCACAAAACTTTCAACCCTTTTCCACATAAACTCATTTGGTCTTTTGTTCCCAATAGAAAATGCCAGGGAGTTTTCTCATGCATTTCTTCTCAAACGCTTGGATCCTTCTCTCTGTATCTGCCAACAATGTCTACGTTTCACATCCATATAGGAGAATGGAGACTACCAGCGATCTGTACAGTCTGTACTTTTTTTTGAAAGCTGACTTTGCTTCTCCATATTCTTATCAATTTGGCCATCGCTGCCATGGCTGCGGAAATCCGTGTACGGATTTCCGAATTGCAGGTAATATATTTTGACAAAATTACTCCTAATTATTTTAGACTACAGTATAAGGTGAAATACTTGTTTGTTTTGTTTAGCGGCACATCAACACATTTAATGTCGATATTTAAATATTTTATCCGCAATTTGATTTGATTTTTCTCAGGAGATTGTTGTATAAGAGTAAGTGTCGTAGCTGACACGGTGGTTTGAAACTAGGTCACCAATGAGTAACACTGGTAATTCCATTATTAAGTAGATCACGTGATCATAAAGGAAGTGAATAAGTAGGAAGTAGCTTGATGACTATACAATCACTGTTCACTCTTTTTGTCTATCCACTATTGCTATATGTTCACTCTCTCTACTACTATACGGATTACGATTCTCTTCTGATCATTATACTATTTGACAATTACTACTTGAACAAGTATTACTAGTGCGGATATTATTGGAAGGCGTTACTACCAGTACTGACGTCTACGAAGAAAGTGAATAGCAAGTAAGTGATAACAAGCTTTCGCTTGACATAGCAAAAGCGACAAGCAAATCCGTCCAACATCTCAAAAGAGATGATAATGATTTTAGTGATATAAGTATTACTAGTTAACCCATTGCAGGAAGAAAAAGAGGTGGATTCAAACCTTTTACAAGTGTATTTGTATGTAGGAGAAGATAACGAACCCAACTGGATTTGGAACTCGATTCTCCGATTAAAAATTCCTAGCCACTATCCATTACACTTCCTATCTTCTTCTCAAGAGGTCATCCATCTTGTTACAGAGCAGGCTTGATAAGGTAAAATAGGGATTTGAATTGTAGAAAGTATGAAGCTAACCTTCCGCGTGGCTTGCTTAGAAAATCAGTGTTTGAAATTCTAATGTTTGCACTGATCTTGCGCAGCTGATCTAGTATCGAAAAGAAATTCCATGGTAAGCTACAACCAGTGTGCATTTGTTGAGATGGCGTAAGTAAAATGCTGATACAAAAGAGAAAAGACGCCACAAGCAGGTCCGTTCATCTGTAGTATAATGCTATCGTTTGGACGTCTTTTTTTTTCATTCCAGTTGACGTCGTCGATAATTCGGAAAGAAACGTATTTCCGCATCGTCTTTGTCAATATGAACAATTGTTGTAAACAACACTCGTAATTGTATGCGATAAAAACAACATAATATGGTCCGTAGGTAGACTATCTCAATAATGTTCAAATATTTATTCGTATGTCTACAGAAGAAGAAGAAGAAGAAGAAGAAGAAGGGCAATAAAAACAATAAAGATAACGATAATAATAAAGACAACACAAACACTAAAAATAATAGCAATAATAAAATAATCCTAATAATGAGAGCAATAACAACAATAATAGCAATAATAAAATAACAATAACCAGCTCCAAGCAGGGGAATTGTCTAAGGTGGACAACTGGCGCCTCATAACCAGCTGCTTCGAGTTTTCCATTTCCCC